CGTTCCTATGCTGGTATGCAGTGCTATCCACCACCTTCTTCGTATTATGCCCAAAGAAGACAGCAGTCCCCATAGCAGCGACATCAGTAACACAGGAACAGATCCTATGACACCTCAGATGAAGCCAAAGAGTTCTTCAGCTACATCTTCATTGCATAATGGTCAGACCACAGGTTTGACATGAAGATTGAAACCTGTGAGCCTGTCTTAGAGAGCTCTACCCATACTTTAGGAGACAGTCTATCTCATTTCTATGATGTGAGAGTTTTCCATACCTTTGGACACAGTAAAGGAAGGTTATACCATCCAATTCGAATCCCTTCCTCCATACAACCTCCCATCTCTTTTCAGGGACCCTTTTTATGAGAGGATACTAAGGACAGAAATACAAACTCTGTTACAAGCAGGCCCAGTAGAAGAGTTTCCAATAAGTTCCAGGAACATAGGTTTTTATATCTGTTTTCTGATCCTAAAAGAGGACATGGTCTGTGATTTTTAGATGTCAGGAATCTAAACAGATGTATCAAGGGTTTCAATTTAGAATGCTAATTCTTGCATAAATTATCTCCTCCCTTTCTACTTTAGATTAATTCACTGCTATCTTGAAAGTGCTTACTTGCATATCTCTGTAAGACCTTCTCATTGAAAATATCTTTGTTTCACACTCAGTTGAGACCACTTTCAGTGCAGAATCCTACCATTCAGCTCCTCCACTGAGCCCAGAGATTTTACGAAATGCCTCTCTGTGGTAGCAGAGTATCTGAGAAGGTGTGTGTGTGTGTGTGCGCTCATCTATCTATAATTAGATGATTGGCTCTTAAAACCTTTCTTCAAAGAGGAATTGAGAAATATTCAGTTCACTTACTGCCTGTTCAAGAATCTTGGCCTTCTAATAAACAAAAAGAAGTCTCTTCTATCTCCATCACAGAGAATCATCTACATTGGTGCAATCCTCGATTCCAGAGAGGGTTCATGAAGCTGTGCTTCAGTATTCAGGGCCTACTTCTGTAGCTCTGTCAGAAAATGATTTACTTGACTTTAATAGGTCTTTTGACCTCAACAACATATTATGTACTGCAGATCCAGAATGAGGTCACTTCAACGCTGGGTATCAGGAAACATCAAACTGAGTATGCACAGCATGTTCAAGACAATCGCTGTTCTGAATTTTTTTTTTTTAATATCTCTTAACAGGTTGGCTGAAGCCAGAGAATGTTCTCAAAGTACTTTTATTCATCCCTGCTCCTCCTACTGTAATATTTTGGAAGTGTCTGATGAAACTAGGTTGGGGGGCACATCTAAACAGTTTATTAATTTGAGGCCTTAAGAATCCCCAGGAATCCCTTTTACATATAAATGTGTTAGGTCTGAGAGCTGTCCTTCTAGGTCTCAAGTTGTATCTCCCACAAATGCAGAACTCAGTAGTCCAAGTTCCTATGGACAATATGTCATCAATGTATTAAGTAAACAGACAGAGAGGAGCTTGTTTTGTCTTCTCTTTTCAAGGAGGCAATAAAACTGTGTGATTGGTGTATTATACTCAGATGGCTTACATGTAGCGGGAGCTCGTAGTGAAGTTGTGGGTTGGTTGAGCAGGGATTCCAGGCAGATGCACAAGTGGTGAGTAAAGGATTCGGTGGCTGAGGACATTTTCAACCTATGTGGCTTCCTAGACATTTGTTTTTTTGCCACCAGAGTCCATAGCAAGTGTCCCTATTTAAGAGTGAGCTCACAGTCAGTGACAGGTGCATTCCTCAGTTGGGCAATAGTTGTACTGTCTGAGTTTTTCCCCCTTCCCACTAACATTAAAGGTAGTAAAGCAGGTAAACCAGGACGCGACCAAAATTATTCAGAATTGCTCCAGTTCTGTCCAAGACAACAATGTATATCGACTTACTTCTCCTGTTCAAAGGGAATTATAAGATGCTACTGGTGACAGTGGACCTATTTTCCCAGCAGGGAGGGGAGAGTCTTTCATCCAGCTTCCAGTCATTGCATCTAATGGCTTGGGCAGCAGTACTTTAACTGATTTAGAAGTCTTGTTCTATTGAGGTGCAATGTGTTTTTAATTCTAGGAAACCATCCAGTAGAAAATATTATGACCTTGAAATAGGAAAGGTTTGTTTTATGAGCGTCTGATAAAAGCGTTGATCCAGTCTCGACTCCTAATCAGTATATTATAGAATATTTGTTTCACCTGAAAATTATGGGTGTAGCTACCTACTTGCTTTAAATCCACTGATTAGCGGTAACAGCTTTTCATATACATATTGATGGTAAATCTGTTTTCTCACACAACTCAGTTGAAAGGTTTATTGAGTTTGGATCTGCCAGTAGAAAACCCAGTTTTTCTATGGTATTTAAACTTAATATTAAAACAACTTATGTCCCCTTAGTTTGAACCTCTCTCAAGGTGTTCTTTATTTCACCTGTCCATAAAAACAGTTTTTATAATAGCAATCACATCTGCTAGAAGGATTAGTGAAATACATGCTTTGATGGCTGAACCTCATGTGGTTTTTCATGAAGACTTCACCCCTGATTTCTTCATGAAGTAATTTAAGATTTTCAAGTTAATTAATATTAATTTTACCAGTGTTCTTTCTTGGACGCCAGGCACATAACGATCAGTCCACACTGCATGTTTTAAATGCAAAAAGAGTTGTATTGTATTACCTGGACAGAACTAAAGACTTTAGGGGTTCTCCCAAATTATTTTCTATGTTGAGCATGGTAAGGGCCTAGTTGTTTCTGCCCAGTTCTAGCCTGAGTCTAGATGGCTCAGACAGTGTGTAGAGGAGAGTTATAAGATTTCGTCTCCCTCCTCCTCCTGGTCTTAGGCTATGTCTATACAACAAGTGTTACAGTGGTACTGCTGTGGTGCTATGGCTATGTTTCCTACATTGACAGAAGGGCTTTTCCCATCCATGTAGTTTATCCACCTCTCTGAGAGGTGGTAGCTAAATCTTCTTTTGATCTAGTTGCATCTACACTGGGGATAAAGTTGACATAGCTATGGCACTCCGCATGAAATTTTTCACAGCCCCGAGCAATGTAGCTAGGTCAGTTGAATTTTTAAGTGTAAACCAGGCCTAGAACTCACTCTACAAGAGCAGTTGAAATATTTAAAGCTGACACTTGAGGTTCACTTCACAGTTTCAGTAAACACTGTGTGTTAAATTTGCAGCCAGATCTGATGGCAGAGTGATACTTCAGTCCTTGTTTAATTTGGACTTCTTGTCCCCCCCCCTCCATTCTTGGAATACTGCTTGCCAAGCTATCCCAAGAGTGGGAATATGCTGAGGACACTCCAAAAAGAAACATAGATCATTTACATAACCAGAGTTCTTCGATATGGACTCTGTGTATTCATACACAGGGTTTCTACAGGTATATTAGCAACAAGAAGGTGGTCAAGGAAAGTGTGGGACCCTTACTGAATGGGGCAGGCAACCTAGTGACAGAGGATGTGGAAAAAGCGAATGTACTCAATGCTTTTTTTGCTTCGGTCTTCACAGAGGTCAGCTCCCAGGCTGCTGCACTGGGCAAGACAGTATGGAGAGGAGGTGAGCAGCCCTCAGTGGTGAAAGAACAGGTTAAGGACTATTTAGAAAGGCTGGACTTGCACAAGTCCATTGGTCCAGATCTAATGCATCCAAGGGTGCTGAGGGAGTTGGCTGATGTGATTGCAGAGCCACTGGCAATTATCTATGAAAATTGGTGGTGATGGGGGGAGGTCCCGGACGATTGGAAAAAGACAAATATAGTACCCATCTTTAAAAAAGGGAAAAAAGAGAACCTGGGGAACTACAGACCAGTTAGCCTCACTTCAGGTCCTGGGAAAATCATGGAGCAGGTTCTCAGAGAACCCATTTTGAAGCACTTGGAGGAGAGGAAAGTGATCAGGAACAGTCAGCATGGATTCATCAAGGGCAAGTCATGCCTGACCAACCTGATTGCCTTGTATGATGAGATAACTGGCTCTGTGGATATGGGGAAAGCAGTGGATGTGATGTATCTTGACTTTAGCAAAGCTTTTGATACAGTCTCCCACAATATTCTTTCCAGCAAGTTAAAGAAGTATGGGCTGGATGATTGGACTATAAAATAGATAGAAAGCTGGCTAGATTATCGGGCTCAGCGGCTAGTGATCAATGGCTCGATGTTTAGTTGGCAGCCGGTATCAAGCGGAGTGCTCCATGGGTTGGTCTTGGGACCGGTTTTATTCAACATCTTTATTAATGATCTGGATGATGGGACAAGTTGCACCCTCAGCAAGTTTGCAGATGACACTAAGCTGGGGGGGAGGTAGATACAATGGAGGGTAGGGATAGTGTCCAGAGTGACCTGGACTAATTGGAGGATTGGGCCAAAAGAAATCTGATGAGGTTTAATAAGGACAAGTGCAGAGTCCTGCACTTAGCAAGGAAGAATCCCATGCACTGGGGCCTGACTGGCTAAGCAGTTCTGCAGAAAAGGATGTAGGGCTTACAGTGGACGAGAAGCTGGATATGAGTCAACAGTGTGCACTTGTTGCCAAGAAGGCTAATGGCATATTGGGCCGTATTAGTAGGAGCATTGCCAGCAGATTGAGGGAAGTGATTATTCCCTTCTATTCGGCACTGATGAGGCCACACCTGGAGTATTGTGTCCAATTTTGGGCCCCACACTACAAGAAGGATGTGGGAAAACTGGAGAGAGTCCAGTGGAGGGCAACAAAAATGATTAGGGAGCTGGAGTACATGATTTATGAGGAGAGGCTGAGGGGACTGGGATTATTTAGTATGCAGAAGAGAAGGATGAGGGGGGATTTGATAGCTGCTTTCAACTACCTGAAAGGGGGTTCCAAAGAGGATGGATCTAGACTGTTCTCAGTGGGAGCAGATGACAGAATGAGGAGTAATGGTCTCAAGTTGCAGTGGGGGAGGTCTAGGTTGGATATTAGGAAAACCTTTTTCACTAGGAGGGTGGTGAAGCACTGGAATGGGTTACCTAGGGAGGTGGTGGAATCTCCTTCCTTAGAGGTTTTTAAGGTCAAGGTTGACAAAGCCCTGGCTGGGATGATTTAATTGTGGATTAGTCCTGCTTTGAGCAGGGGGTTGGACTAGATGACTTCCTGAGGTCCCTTCCAACTCTGATATCCTATGATTCTATGTGGACAAGGGGGATCCAGTGGATCTAGTGTACTTAGATTTTCAGAAATTCTTTGACAAGGTCCCTCACCAAAGGCTTTTACACAAAGTAAGCTGTCATGGGATAAGAGGGAAGGTCCTCTCTTGGTTCAGTAACTGGTTAAAAGATAGGAAACAAAGGGTAGGAATCAGTGGTCAGTTTTCAGAGTGGAGAGAGGTAAATAGTGGTTTTCTCTAGGACTCTGTACTGAGCCCAGTCCTATTCAACATATTCATAAATGATCTGGAAAAAGGGGTAAACAGTGAGGTGGCAAAGAGCTAGAAAAGGATCTCACAAAACTGGGTCACTGGGCAACAAAATGGCAGATGAAATTCAATGTTGATAAATGCTAAGTAATGCACATTGGAAAACATAATCCCAACTATTCATATAAAATGATGGGGTCTAAATTAGCTGTTACCACTCAAGGAAGAGATCTCTGAGTAGTTGTGGATAGTTCTCTGAAAACATCCACTCAAAGTGCAGCGGCAATCAAAAAAGTGAACAGAATGTTGGGTATCATTAAGAAAGGGATAGATAAGACAGAATAATCATATTGCCTCTATATACATCCATGGTATTCCACACCTTGAATACTGCATGCAGATGTGGTCGCCCCATTTCAAAAAAGATGCATTAGAATTGGAAAAGTTTTGGAAAAGGGCAACAAAAATGATTAGGGTTATGGAACAGCTTCCATATGAGGCGAGAATAATAAGGGATTATTATTTTCATCTTGGAAAAGAGATGAAAAAGGGGGGATATGATAGAGGTCTATAAAATAATGACTAGTATGGAGAAAGTAAATAAGGAAGTGTTTTTACACCTTCTCATAACAAAAGAACTAGGGGTCACCAAATTCAATTAATAGGCAGCAGGTTTAAAACAATCAAAAGTGAGTATTTTTTCACACAATGCAGTCAACTTGTGGAACTCTTTGTCAGAGGATGTTGTGAAGGCCAAGACTATAACAAAGTTTAAAAAAAAGAACTAGATAAATTCACGGAGGATAGGTCAATTAATGGCCATTAACCAGGATGGGCAGGGATGGTGTCCCTAGTCTCTGTTCGCCAAAAGCTGGGAATGGGCGATGGGATGAATCACTTGATGACTACGTGTTCTGTTCATTCCCTCTGGGGCACCTGGCATTGGGCACTGCTGGAAGAGAGAATACTGGTCTAGATGGACTTTGGTCTGACCCAGTTTGGCCGTTCTTATGTAATGGGCATGCCCAAGCAATGTCTTTACAACAGTTAAAATTATTCCTATTGTTATAGGCATTACATTTGAATATAATGTGTATTTTATTTTTAACTGGCTGTACTTTAACTCAGGCATGTATTTAACAACACAAAACACACAACGCAGTCTTTGTCACAACAGTAGACCCATGGTGTTCTCAGTTGTTCTGCTGGTGCCAGCTTGCCTGTACACTGTCTGAAAAACAAAAATATTTTCTAGCCCCTGGTGGGGACAGATTATGGCTTAAAACACCCTTTCCATGATTTCAACTGAGGAATGGAACCATTTGAACTATGCCTTGTTTTGTTTGCTTGCCCAAATTTCTACCTGATATACTGTTGGGCTGGCTTTTTCTACAATGGTCACTGGACCTTCCCATTTCATCCCCAGAGAATGGTCCTTCTCTGCAAATTTATGATACATTACTTGGTCTCCAGCATTCCATTTGATAGTATTCTTTATCCAGCCCAGTCTTTTATTCACTTTTTAAAATATTAATACACAGTTGTTTTGCTATTTTGTTGTGGATTCCTGGTAGTTTTTCTGTTAGGGCCTGAATCCATTGACCATTTAATACTTTGGGCTGCCACCCATCTGGGATATCTACAGCTAGCCTCCAATGTTCAGGTGTCCTCATGTCCCTTTGTTGCTACAAAGCGGGTATAACCATGGCTCGCTGGAACAGACCTTAAGGCTAGAAAAGTTAAAGACAATGGTTCATCCCAATCTTTTTCATTTTCTTTAAGCATTTTCCTCAAAGCATCCTTTAAAGTTCGATTGGTTCGTTCTACCTGTCCTGAGGATTGAGAGTGGCCTGCAATATGGAATCTTTGTTTGAATTCCAGTATTTCACACAGTTCTTTCATAGCTTCCCCCAATGAAGTGTGACCCTTGGTCCGAATCAGTTTTCTTAGGAAATCCCCATTGACTAAACACTACATTAAACAATTCTTGGGCTGTAGTTAGAGCTGTTTTCAGAGTAACAGCCGTGTTAGTCTGTATTCGCAAAAAGAAAAGGAGTACTTGTAGCACCTTAGAGACTAACCAATTTATTTGAACATGAGCTTTCGTGAGCTACAGCTCACTTCATCAGATGTATACCGTGGAAACTGCAGCAGACTTTATATACACACAGAGATCATGAAACAATACCTCCTCCCACCCCACTGTCCTGCTGGTAATAGCTTATCTAAAGTGATCATCAGGTGGGCCATTTCCAGCACAAATCCAGGTTTTCTCACCCTTCACCCCCCCACACAAATTCACTCTCCTGCTGGTGCTAGCCCATCCAAAGTGACAACTCTTTACATAATCAAGTCGGGCTATTTCCTGCATAAATCCAGGTTAGAGCTGTGTTAATCTTTGTGGAATCGCTTCTATCCATTTTGTAAATGGGTCTCCAATTATCAAACAATACTTATTTTGTTTGGGTGACTGGAAAAGGTCATATGTAATAGACTTGTAACCAGGCCCATGGGCCCTCAATTCTTTAGTGGGTGATAGGACCCTTCTGTATCTTTTGAATCAGCATTGACCACTACACACTGCAGACAATTATTACACCACTGTTTTATATCTTCCCTAAGTGTGGGCCACCAACCTGTATCTTTGACCCTTTCTACTGTTTTGTCCACCCCAAAATACCATCGCTAATGCACATATTGAATTAATTCAGTCCTTACTTGTTTAGGCACTAACCATCTTTTGGGCTGTTCCCTGAGGTCCAAACCATCCAGGTCTTTGTTTATGTACCCTTTCCCTTTGATTGTTTTCTGCTCCAGGATCTGTTCCATCTCCTTGTCCCCTTCCTGTATGGCTTGCAAATCCAACATCTTTGGGCTTACCACCTGTTTGTGCACTCTAGTTACTACACTGATTACCTCCTTTTCTTCACAATGTGTGAGCAGAGCCCCTTGTTTGGTTAACATATTTGCTCTGTTATTCCAATCTCCTTCCTCACTTCTCGGTTTCTGATGTGCTTTAACATAAGTATCTCCCTCTCTATCCTTGATTAAGGCCGTCACTTATTCCAGGTGGTGTTCATGAGCTGCTGGCTTTCTATCTCCTATGCACATATCCCTAGCTGCCCAGGTGGGTAACTAAACCACTCTGCTCTGTATACCCAATCCAAATGAGTGAATATTGCCAGTGTGGCATCTCGATCCGCTGTCTGTGACACCTTTAGGACTGTCACCACTTCAGCAGCCTGTGCTGAGTGTGGTTTTACTGGTCCCTTTAATTCCTGGTTAGTATTAACCTTTTTACAGCACCAAATCCTGTCTTAGCTCTCCCTTCACTGTAATAGCTGGACCTATTCACAAACGAAATTTGCATGTCTCCTTTCTATGCCCTCTGTAGGGTGAGTCCTGACTTTACTGGCTACTCTACCCTTTTATGGGAGCAGAGGGGACTCATGTTCTTGTCCTTGCACTATTAATCCGTATGGTACAGAGGATAGTATTTTTCCTTTTTCTACTATTATCCCCCAGTTTATGTGGGCAAAAGTCCATTGTGCCAACCGAGGATTGACTATCTGTACCTCCTGGGCTTTTCCTGATACATTATACTTCAGTGGAGAATATGTTGTTTGTACTGTGATTTAGGATCCCCCAATCACGTATTCCCAGTGCTGCAAGGCCCGTACTAGGGCTAAACAGTTTTACCCCTTGTGAAAAAGCTTGCTCCACACTGCTTAGCATTTTACATCCATAAGCAATGGGTTGTAACTTTCTCGTGCTTTGTTTCTGCAACAGCATTGCTCCCAGTGCTACGTCAGTACCAATTGTAGGATAAATGGCTCCTTCACTTTTGGGTATACTAGGGCTGGGCTAGATCCTCTTTCAGGATCAGTAACGTTATTGCCTGATCAGGCCCCCATGCCCATTGCCACCCTTTCTTTAGAAGAAAATACAGTGGGTGACTTTTGGCAGCATACATTTAAATAAAATCTCTTGAGAAATTCAAAGTTCCTAACAGAGCACTTAATGATGTTATACCCGGGGGGCTGGAAGTTTCCCAATCAGTTCCACCCATTGTGCATCTGGGGTTCATCCCTCCTTTTCCAATATAACCCCTAAATATTTTACCTCTTTCAGTGCCAATTGGGCCTTGGCTCTGCTAGCCTTAAATCTGGTTTCTTGGATAATCCTTACCACATTTTCAGTGAGTCTATTGACCTACCCTCGGTCAATTCCATGCGCACATATGTCATCAACATAGGACGCTACCTTCTTTTGGTCTCCAGGTGCCAATTTTTCCCACATTTTGACCACATGGGTGTGACAAAGTGCAGGTGTGTTATGAAACCCTGGGGCATTCTTGTGAAACAGAATTGCTGTCCCCTATAGGTGAAACCAAATTTGTACCAAGACTCTGGATGTAAGGGAATGGGAAAGAAAGCGTTCGTTAAATCTATCACTGAAAACCACTATGCTGTGGCTGCTTCTGTGGCAACTCGTTCTTGGTATTTAGCCACCACTAGAGCAGAGGCTGAAGTCACTGCATTCAATGCTTTAAAATCCACTGTCCTTGTTCAAGTCATCCCATACCCCTCAGGTACAGGCCAAACAGGGGCATTGTTGGTACTGGCCATTTGTCCAATATTGCTGCCTTCAAACAAA